ATAATATCACAGTCAACTTCTAGGCCAGAGTACCCAGTACTTCAGGCAGAGGCTAATGTCACTGTGCTGCCACTGCTCTTCACCTTAATCTCAAGAGCATACAGGCACCCCTGTACTTGGTGCATTCTCATTTCCTGTTAACCCAAGCCTGGTTCTACCACGCAGCTGAACAAAAGAACAGCAATCCTGCTCCCTGTTGAGAATTGTCAGTGCCCCTTCCATACCAGTTGCTATGAAACAAGCTGTCCCAGCAGTCCAGGATATAGTCCAGCGTGGAATGGAACCACCGGATAAGAAACATCTGTTTAAGAGAAGGGAGGGGAAAAAAAAAAAGGCAAATGATAAAGCTGTTATTCCCAGCACCAATGAGAGCCCCAGCCCCTGAACTGAACCCCAGCTCCAAATCAGCTTTGGATTATGCCATGAGCTCATCTTTCCTGAGCAACAACACCTGTGGAGTGTGATTCCCACTAATGAGCATAACGGAACTGTTCAAGGAGGTAACATGCTTGCTAAGTGGCTGGAAAGGCTGTGCACTTACAGGAGCAAGCTCATCATTCAAGTCTTCCAGGACAGTCTCTGAGGAGAGAAGACCAGGGTCCGTTCTTAGCTGGTCCAGGAGATCCAGAAGGATGAAGTTGTCCTCGTTGCTGCCTTGCCAGGCCTCCTCCAAGGTTTTATAGGCAATCTTCCCTGCGTTGTTGCGCCTCTCCAAAATGACCACCTGGACAAACCAACCACATCAGATGTCTGACAGGACAGCACTTTTACTGAGAAAGGCATTAGCTTCAAACCCCTGCCCAGAATTAGGAGTCAGGTCAAGTTACAGCAGCCTACACAGAGCGAAGAGATTTACAACGACAGACAAAAAGCACAGCAGAAGAAAAGAAAAGTAAAGGTAATGCTCACAGCTGACTTCCCACGGTACTTCTCCTCATCCATCAGCAAGGCATCTGCAAATTCTGGCTGCCTGTCGTTGTAGATGTGTGCAAACCTCAGTGTGTCTTTTGTGTTGGCTACAGCAAAGGTCAGAAATGCCTCGTAAGCGTCAGCAAACTTATCGCCTTCTCCAGTGAGCAGGACCACACAGTGCCTGGGCAACACAGAGAGATGGAGAATGAAGAGCTGTTCTGGCTGCCAGAGGAAACAGCTGTCCTCTTTCTGCTAATGAGAATGATCCTGAAGGGATGGAAACCCTGTTTGTCATTTTTGGGCTTATTTTTGAAAGCCTGCCTCTGTCTTCCAGACGTTGAGCTCTCCAGGCTGTTGCCCCACTCCTCCTCCCTTCTCCCTGTCCTCTGTCCCAAGATGTGCCCAGTGGAGGCACAAAAGCTATCAAGCTGCATGGATACCCAGCAATCTCCAGTGCAGTCACTTCCTTCCTTCCCTTGGAGACCTTTTATATCTCACTCAATCCAACAAGAGATGGCTTTAGAAGCAACCCAAGAGCCTCGGGGGACAAAATGGGTTCCCAAGGAGCCTTACTTTCGCTGACGGTGTGACTTCTTCACTGGACACAGCTCCTGGAACAGCCTCTGGTTGGTCAGTCTGGCAGCCATGAGGAACTTATTCTGGGAAAGGAAGTCATCAATGAGCTGCTTCTTCATATCCCGTGCCTAGAGAAAAGAAAGCAAGCAGAGTTGGTACCGAGTGGGTTGAGGAGAGCAAAGCTATTCTAAGACTTCCTCTCACCTGAAGAGCTGGAGGATGCCAGCCATCACAGTCCTCACTGAAACCCCCAAAGACACTTAGAGGACCAAGAAGTTACCTGCAACTATCCCCTACAAAGCTCAGACCCCACAGCTGATGCCCACCAAGCTACCTCCCTCCTGAGGCTTCGCTCACTGCCTTTGCTGAAGCCAGAGGTACCACTGAGAATCAATGCCACTTATTCCTCAAAATGCAGCCAACCAACCTCTCATTTTGGTCAGAGAAGAAACTTTCCTTTCATGGAAGCACTCGGAGAAGACTCAGAGCTGTACCTGTGCCACATCAGCGGGCTTGTCGATGTGCTCCTTAAAGATCATCAGGGTCGGCGTGTAGACGTTGATGTTGTACTGACTGGACAACTCTTCAGTCCCTCTGAGCCCCACGTACACGTAACCAAAGGACAAGTAATCTCTGTATGCAAAGGCAGTCAGCTGGATGGGAAGAAAGCACCAGAATGTGTCACATTAGCACAAAAAGAATGCCTTGTCCCCCCAGTGCTCGTGGTGACTTTGCTTATGAACACCCCCCGCTGTTTAAATGCCACTGGGCATGTGCTGGATTTAGTAGCAAGTCAAAATCCAGAGGCAGATATTGCTTTACCTTGTACAGCAATGGCACGACTGGCATGTGATCAAACAGAAGGACGTGGGGCTTGTTTTCTTTCTTCCAGTTAGATAGGAAGCGGATGTAGTTTTTATCTGTAATCTTTAAATGGAGTCAGATTGTTAGTTGAACCTCAGAACAGTCAGATGCATGCAGTGCTGTAGGGTTAGGTGCCTGAGTGAGAACCAGGTCTGAAAAAGCTGCCACAGGTATGCCTGATGTGTGTGCTGGTTTGACTCGGCACTGACTGCAGCTGGAAGAGCAGCATACAGACTGCACTGCTGGCCGAAATGTGCAGTAGTGCAATGAGCCCCGTCACAAAGAAAATAAGAGTTACAGAACAGTGTTTGTGCTTGCTTCCAAGCAGGGAAGCAGGGTGTGGAGCCATAATTACAGCTCTTGAAGCACTTTGGTTCCCCAGTTGGCTCTTCTCACCTCAGTGACACACATCAGGGCTGCATTAATTGGATGAGCAGCTGCAACAGCTAACGAGCTCTGTCTGCCCCAGTCAGACGGCAGCCGCAGCGCTGCACGCCCCCCTCACGTGTACCTTCTCTACGAGGTTCCCTGGCAGCAGGTTCTCCACAAACTGCCGCAGGTTTTCTCGACTGACGGCGCTGTGGAAGAAGCTGATCTTCCCGTTCATCAGTCCCAGGATCGACGGCGTGCTGTGAGCGCCGAGGTGATGGGCCAGGCGCCTCTCGTACCCGGCGTGAACGACCCCGATGCCCACCCCTGTGAAAGGAGAGCAGACTGACCTAAACGATGACCACGAGCCCACGCCTGGACCAGACAGCTGAGTTGGAAGACCCCTTCCCTTGCTCAGCACCACGCTTGGCAGTTATCTGTGTCACGGTCCCTCCCAGCTCTGTGCTTTCCTCATGCTGCAGTCCCTTGGAACTTGTACTGAAAGCTTTATCGAGGGAGAGGGAACGTGATGGCCTCTTTTATTTTACCCACCGACGTCACACGTGCTACAGTAAAACCCAAAGGAGAACAAGCTCAGTAGGGAGGGACTGGACCACCTCTGTGTCCTGCTGTGTTTTTTTGGAAAGTGCATGCAGGAGACGTCAGCACGAAAAACAAAATTTCCACTTGCTCTCTGCATTCCCAGCTTTCTTGTTGGCACACAAATATATTTCCAGTAGGGCTGACGAGTCCCCAGACTTCCCTCGCAGCCCTGTATGGTGGTGACTCAGGTGCTGTATTCTGCTTGTTCCAAGTTCAGGACAGAGCCATGCAGGATTTACCTATGAGCTTTAATTAATGTGGTTATTTATTACCATGGCTGCTGGACTACAATTAGGGAGAAAAGGTATCTTCCCCTTGTAGCATCAGGGGTGACCGAGGGAACAACAGTGAAACCACCAGGCAGAAAGAGCTGAAACTGTATGAGTCAGAAGGAAAGCCTAATGTTTCCTTGTTTACAATGCTTAGCCTCATTGATTTAGTTATTACTAACACACAGGAAAGTGTTAGGCTTGTGGCCTAAATCCCTGAGTCCTTCTATGGACCAGCTGCTGGTGGACACCCTTCCCATACCTCATTCTGCAAGGAAATTCATGTTCAACCCCAACGCCTCGTCCTTACCCAGTGCCTCCAGTTCCTGGGCAACTTCCTTCCACACGGGCTCGATGTGGATGCAGCTGAAGCACCAATCTGAGGTGATCTTAATGAGGTATGGTTTCTTGAAACTATCTGGCACGATTTCATTGATGTAATGTGAAAAATGGAGCAAATACTTCTCGTCGGAGGTGTCACGTCTCTCTGAATTGAAGGGGAAATGGAAGAAGGACTCATCAAAGTAGAAGCCTTCGTGGAAGTGGTGGAACTGGCGCTGCTGGTGCTGGGAATAGCCCTGGCTCTCCCCAGCATCTCCGTAGCGATCAAAGTTTGCCCTCTTTTCCTCGTTGGAGAGGATCTGGGAAGCAAAGGACAGAAGAAAGGCGGCGCAGTGCAAAGCGTGGAGGGGTGGGGACTGGAGTAACCCCGACCCACCCCCACCCACCGTGCCCACTGACCACGTCCCTCAGTGCCATATCCCCACATTCCTCGAACACCTCCATGGATGGTGACCACACAGCTCCCTGTGCAGCTATGCCAGCACATCACTGCTCTTTCAGAGCAGAAATCACTGCTGACATCTAACCCACACCTTGAGGTGCACCTTGAGGCCATCACCTCCCATCCTATCGCTGTCACCTGGAGCAGAAGCCAACCCTGCCTCACCGCAGCCTTCCTTCAGGAGCCGTACGGAGCGATGAGGTCTGCCTTGAGCCCCCCGTTCCCCAGCCTCACCCATCCCAGCGCTGCACTCCAGCCCCCTCTCGGTCCCGTTCCTTTCTCCTTTCTGCAGCGCCTTTCTCTTACCTCGTAGGCCTTGCTGATCTGGATGAACTTATCCTCAGCGCCCGGGTCCTTATTCTTATCCGGATGCCTGGAGCGGGGTTGGAAGGACGAGGCGTTACTCCCTGCCGCGCACCCAGGCCTCCCCGCCCCCCCCAGCCGCAGGTCCCGCTCTGTACCACTGCCGTGCCAGCCGTTTGTACGCCTTCTTGATGTCGGCCTGACTGGAGGAGCGGCCCACGCCCAGCACGCGGTACGGGTCCCGCTCCGGCGCGGCCTGCGCCGCCAGAAGCAGCAGCAACACCAGCAGCAGGCCGGCCGGGCCCGCGCGGCCCAGCTCCATGGCGGGCACCGGCACCGGCCTCAGCCCCGCAGCCGCAGCTTCCGGCGCGCCCGCCCGCCGTCACCATAGCGACGCTTCCGCTTCCGGTCATGTGACGTGGATCGCCATGGAGGAGGTGCAGAGGCGCGCCTTGCGGCGCGGCCGGGTGCGGCTGGTGGAGGGGCTGCGGCCCGAGGCGCTTTGGGGGCCGCTGGAGGCCCGAGGGGTTTTCACCAGCGCTATGGTGGAGGATATGCAGGTGGGCTGCGGGCCGCGGCCGGGGGTCCCGTGTCCTGGCGGTCTGGTGAAAGGGCCTCGTGTCCCCTCAGCTCGGTGGCGGGGTTCGGGGTGTCCTTACGTGGGATCCTGGGCTCCATCAGCAGAGGGGTGGCCAGCAGCGACAGAGAGCTGATGGTTCCGCTCTGCTCTGCTCTTGTGAGGCCCCATCTGCAGCACTGCGTCCAGGTCTTGGAGCCCCGAGTACAAGAAAGACAGGGAGCTGTTGGGGAGGGTCCAGAGGAGCCACAAAGGTGATCAGGGGGCTGGAGCAGCTCTCCTATGAAGAAGACAGGCTGAGGGAGCTGGGCTTGTTCAGCCTGGAGAAAAGAAGGCTGCAGGGTGACCTCAGTGCAGCCTTCAGTACCTAAAGGGAGACTACGAATGGGAGGGGAGTCAACTCTTGGAAAGGGTAGATACAAGGGGGACAGGACAAGGGGAAATGGTTTGAAGTTGAGGGAGGGAACATTGAGGTTGGATGTCAGGGGGAAGTTCTTTCCTATGAGAGTGGTGAGTACTGGAACAGCTGCCCAGAGAGGCTGTGGATGCCCCGTCCATCCCTGGAGGTGTTCAAGGCCAGGTTGGATGGGGCCCTGGGCAGCCTGGTCTGGTATGAAATGTGGAGGTTGATGGCGTTGCATGTGGCAGGGGGTTGGAGATTAATGATCCTTGAGGTCCCTTCCAACCCTGGCCATTCTGTGATTCTCACATCCCTCCTGCCCAGTAGCAGGACTCAAATTGTCCCCTCACCCCCCCAGCCCTATGGCAGGCCCTGGGAAGGACCCATGTTCCCACAATCTGATAACGAGCCCTGAGGGATCCAGCATCCTCTCAGCCCCACGGGTCCTCGTGTCCCTGTTGCCTGCTGACAGGTCCCTGTGAGTCCCTGCATCACTACAGCCCAGTGACAAAGCCCTGGTGCCCTCTGTGTCCCTTCCATGCCCATGACATGGCCCACGGCACCCCTATCTCCTCCACTGGCCATCTGTGTGGTGCCCTCTTGTTCTCCCCTTTGTTCCCCTTCCATGATACTGGTGGCAAGCTGATTTAGAATGTGTCTTTTATCCCTGTGGTGTCAAGCTGGGGGTGTCCCCTGGTCCTCCCATCCCCCAGAACCAGGGGTTCCAGTACCCTCCTTTTGTTTCTTATTGGCTGTGGCAAAGCTGAAGGGCTCAGGAAGCATCACCGAGCCGTGTCCCTGCCTTCCCTCCTCTGCAGAGTGCTGGCACCCGAAGGGAACAAGCACGACAGCTGGTCATAGACCTGGAGACCCGTGGGAAGCAGGCCTTCCCAATATTCCTCTCCATCCTGAGGGACACCGGGCACGATGACCTGGCTGACATGCTGGAGGACGGGTGTGGAAGCCCCATCTCCCCACCTGTGGACCTGAGGCCTGTGCAGCTGGAGCTGCCTGGAGAAAGGCGTGACAAAAGTAAGTAGTGAGAAGGTGGTTCTTTGCATGGTGAAGTGCAGGATGGGGTGTAGCAGCTGGATTCCTTCTTGGTGTAGAAAGTAGGCTGTGAAGTCCTGGTTTTGTTATCCTCTGGCACAGGTTGTAGTGGCGACTGCATGAGTTTGTGGGAGAATGATGTGCTTTCTGGTAGCAGAAGTGTTGAAGCCCCAGCTGTGCTCTAGCAGCTTCCTTCTGCTTTTCACATGCAGCCTTTGTACTGCTGCGCTGAAAACGGGCTTCACTGTGTCTTTGCTACTCCTGTTTTGCCCTTTATCTGTTGATGCAGCTCATACAGCTGTCATGAGAAACCTCACTGAAGTCGGATCAGAGAAAAACAGAGATGGTTTTGTTCTGCCCTTGCAGTGGTGTAGCTGCAAGCTGTGGTCCTTAAGGGGAACCAGAGCAGTTGAATTCTAATGTGCAATTGGAAGGGGCAGAAGGAGAGAGATGACTTTGCCATGCCATGACAGGTGTGAGCACTGCGGAACGCTTCTCCATCCCAGTCCAAGGTGAGAGTGAGC